TGCCTCCGCGCCTGCGCCTTGCGCGGAGCACCACGGGAGTTGTAGTCTTTGCGGTGGATCATAGCGGCCATTTGCACGTGAGTGGAGCGAGGCTAATACGGTTTTTTTGTTGTTTTTCTGTCTTTTTCTTTTCTCTTTTCTTTTTCTTTTTTTTCTATCCTTTTTTCTTTCTGCTTCCTTCCCCCCCTTTTTTTTCTTTCTATTTTATTATTTGTCACATTTTTCCTGTTTTCCTGTCTTTTTTTTCTCTTTCATTCTCCTTTTCCTCTTTTTTCTTCCTTTTCTTCTTTTTATTTACTTTTTTCTTTTTTTCCTTTTTCTTTTTTTTTAACATTGTTTTCTATCAGTTGTATTTTCAAGGAAGTTTTAAACACATATCAAAACAATCTCCACCTACATATCTTATGACAACAGATAATCTGCCACTGTTCCAGGTTCGTGAAGATTCCCAAGATCACAAACAGAGACATGAAGGGTGCTCACACCTGCTTTTTTCCACAGCTAAAGCAAGTGTGGAAGGGGCACTTGGCCCCAGGCAAGATGCTTTTACAGCCACTTTAAGCAGCCCAGAGTGGATCTGGCTGGCAAATGGGATTATGCCCATGCTTTCAAGGAGGATTTGCATAGCACATTGAGGGGAAACAGGGTCATTTCTTCATCTACTGAAGGGATGAGAAGAGGGGGGAGCAGGTGCTGTGGCCCCAGAGCTTCTCTCTGCTTTGGGGACAGTTCTGTGTTTTCCTCTGTCCATTGAATTCCCAAGAAAGAAGGAAAAAGCTACAGGAACTCCAGTCTGGAGCGGTCAGGACATGTGGAAGCAGGGGAATTTTTCTTCTCAGCTGGGATTGATAGTGCAATTTCACACTCCTTTGGAGAGCATTAACTAAGACATCCCATTTCTGCCCAGGGATCTTCTAGGGGGAACTCAATCCGGCCTCTGGGCAGGTCCCTGCAGGGGCAGCAGCTTCCTCTGCACATTTGAGGTGATAAAGCTGCTCTAACCCTGCACTCCAACTACTCCACAGCAATTTAGGACCTCTGAGGACAGTTCCCCACTGTTTCCACCCCAGCAGAGACCTGAACACATCCTGTGGGCACTGTGTGACCACCCCTGGCATTAACACCCTGCAGGAACGAAGACACTGACTGTAAATACACTTGTCTACCTGTAAACCTCAACTTTGTTTGCTACTATACAGCAATAACATTTTCTATTCGTGTTGCAGCTACAGACTTAATAAATAGAATTGCATATGTTGTGCTTTAGAAATTAAAATGCATTCCAAAGTCAGGCAATGCTAAACAATGAAAGTCTTGAACCCTCCCCCCAAACCAGCCCCACTTTCTGGTTTCACAACCACACCACTTCCTCACTCTCTTCACAAAGGGAGAAACTCTCTCTTTCCACCTCTGAAACAAAAATTCCCTCCCCAAAAGTGATCAGAAAGAGTCTACTTAGGCACTACTGCAAATGGAAGTTGTCTAATAACCATTCCTTCTAACTCAGGAAGGGGAGGAGGTGAAGAAAGTCACGACAAATGTTTGGATTCCTTCCTCTTTGATGTGTTCTCTTCCCTATCTGACGCTCTGGGACACGTTCAGCATCTCTTCAAAGATGGCTCCTTTCACATCTGAGCCCCTCAAATTGGCTTCCTGGAGGTCACAACCTGATAGGTCACGATTCTGAAGGGGAAAAGCAAAAGAAGTGTCAATGGAATGCACCCAGAACTCTGTTCAAAGCTTTACTTGAAGTCCATTTACCTGAACTCCATTGTAGTCTGAAGCTGGAGAGGTCAGCCAAAAGCCAGCAATCCCCCAAATTACTAGCTGACTATAGGATAGGAAGGAATAGGATGGAAAAGAAATCCCAACTCACTTCCAAATCAGTTCCTGCCAACGTTGCTCCCCTGAGGTTACAGTTCTTTAGTTTGGCATTTCTCAGCGTTGCAACTCGGAGGCTAATTCCTGTCATCTGACTGCCCTCCATGGCCACTCCTTTCAGGCTGGCACCTGGAACACACACAGAAAGGAGTTCTGTGAGGAAAAACAGTCAGAAACACAGCAGCTCCACACTGGTGCTGCCTCAGAGCTGTGTGAATTGGAGGAGGACAAGGGGATTTCGGGCTGAGATGGTCACAGACTCAGTGCAGCCTTTGTGGGCCCTTCTCAGGGTTGTACAAACCACAGCTGGAACTTTTCTGGGCCACAGAAATGTACAAGCACAGGCTTCAGTTGGCACAGATTCACAAGGCAAAAGCTTCTTACCTTCCAGATGAGCTTTAAGGCCTGATGGGTCCTCAGAGTTGCAGCCTTTCAGGGACGCTCCCTCTGCATTGGAGCGCAGCATCTTCACCCCTGGCAGGTTGGCACACTGGCACAGACAGGAGTCACTGAGAGCCGGAAGAACAACACCAAAGACAATCAAGAAGACACTTTTAATTTTTGCTTTGGGAGTCAATCCCATTAAATCATTACTGTGAGGAAATGTGAAAGCTTTAGGAACCAGAACAACTCTAGAATCTATTTAAGAACTCAATGTTTTACACCGCTCTGTTTGTTCCAGCTCCTCTCTGTTAACACAAGCCCAGCCCTCCCAAGCTGCAGCAGCTCTTCCATCCAGCACAGAGTCTGACAGGTCAGCCCTCTCCAGGCTGGCACAGCACAGGTTGGCACAGGCCAGGTTGCAGCGGCTCAGATTGGCCACCTTGAAGTTGATTTAACAAAGATCCAGGTGGGAAAGATCTGCTCCACTGAAACTGAGACCCTGGAAATCCCGAGGAATAAACCCCCCAAAAAGGTTACAGAGGGGAAGGGGTGGGTCTGGACACAAAGTTAACATCATTGTGTAGATAGGTGTGCATTAATATTTACAGTGTATAAATATCTGGGTATAAATGTATGGATAGAAATGTATTAAAATATATACTGTCTATAAATATAGATAGATACAAGATAGATACAGACACACACAGAGGTCCTGGGAGGAGCTGAAGACACCCCACCAGGGAAGGGGGCTTATAAAAAGGAGGGAGAGGGAGTTTCTATATGGACCTGGAGGGACAGGACAAGGGGCAATGGTTTTAAAACTGAAAGAGGGCAGGGTTAGATGGGATACTGAAGCAAGGTAAGGCCTGGAAGGCAAATATAACGTAGTAATCTGAGAACCAGAGAGTTAAATTCAGGATGCAGGCTTTAAGCAAAATCATAGAGAACTTAGTCTTAGAAACAGTGGAGGTAATAATTCTTTAAAGTATGCGGGACACGTTGACACAAAGGAACAGAAGCATAAGTACACAGGAAAACAGAGGAAGCTGAAATGCTAAAATAGGCATATAGAAAGGAAAACAAAGATAGATAAAGAAGGAAGATGAGCCAAGGTCTAGGTACCCCTGCCAGATATCCAAAACTACTGCCAAACACAGTAGGAAACCGCCAAAAATAGGAAAGTTCACAAAGTTCATGATGAGTATGGAAAAAGGGCCGGGGGCTTGTGAGGCCGAAGAACAGAAACGACCCTTCGAATTCTCCCCAAATTGAAGACCGTGCCCCCAGCTCCGCCTCAACTCCGCCTGTTATGAATATTAAAAGTAGATGTTGCAATGTTATGAATATTCGTATTTATGATGCAATTGCTTGGCAAATATTGTATAAAAGCCCAGCTGTGAACTGTTGGGGCAGAGCTGGCGGCTCTCCGACGTCGCAAATAAATACCTCGCTACTCAAAGACTTCAACTCTGTCTCTGAGCAGTTTATTTAGGTGCTTCTTGGGGCATAAAATTGGCATCAGGACAATGTGGAACCACATGGAATTACTAGGCCACTGTGACACTGCAGGGTCTCATGGAACCAAAGGATTCCTGGGACACTGTGGAATCTCATGGAACCAAGGGGCCTCCTAGAACCAAAGGAGTCCTGAGACATTTTGCAAACTCATGGAATCAAGGGTCCATTATCACACTACAGAGCCTTATGAAGCCAAATGGACCCTGTGACTCTGTGGAACCTCATGGAATCTAGTGGCCATTCCCACACTGTAAAACCTCATGGATACTGTCAGGTTCCCATTATTAAAAGACGCCTCTGCCCAAATTCAGCTGCAAAGGAGACCATGTGCCAAAGTCAGCAGTCCAGGTTTGATCTAACAGTACATAAGAGGTAGAGAGAGAGAAAGAAATAGAAAGAGAGAGAGGGAAGAAGGAGGTGGTGGAAAGAGAGTGAGAGAGTGACAGAGATGAAGTAAATGTATCAGACCATGTAGATCCCTGAGGCTCCTGCCGGTCCTTCTTCACCCTGCTCTGCTCAGTGGAGGGTCCCCAAGTTGTGCTTCTGGGGTATCACTTTTATACAGCCCAAGCCCCAGGTATTCAGGGGGGTAGATGCTGTTCCCACAGCTTGGGCTGGCACGTGTACAAGGACTTGCTTCCTTTCCCACAGCTTGCCACGGTGGGAGTTTTGCCCGGTGTGCTTTCAGTCTGCAGGTGGGAATCTTTGTCTGGATGGGGCAGCCGGGGGGATGACGACATGTAGGGAACATGTCCCGAGGTGCAACAGGTAGGCACCGAAGCTAGGGGACATGCGCAGAGCCAGACCCTCCTATTGGTTAAGAGTCACGTGGGATCAAGGTATAAAAAGGCGCGCATTGTTTGAATAAAGCTTTTGTTTACCACCTCACAGAGAGCGTGCTATGATTCCTTATCATATAAGGGCAGCGTCCACGTGGACGCTACAACGACAGTCTGCAGGGAAAGGGGCAGGGCATGGACACCGTAGGACAGCCTGGGCTGGAGAGGAGAGAGGGAGGGGGAGAAGCTGAAAGGCCCTGACAGAGCCACCTTCTGCAGGCCTTTGGCCATGGCTGCTGTCTGTGCCCCTGATGCCAGGAGGAGACAAGTGGTCCTTGCAGCCCTGGGGCCTCATGGCCTCCTTGTCCCTGCTCAGCAGCCTGGCAGGTGCCACCCCATGGTCCTGCCCTTGGCATTGCACATCCCACATCCCAGTGCCCCAGGAAGAGCCCTGAGGAATGAGGCAGGGACAGGATGTCCCTTCCCAGGGACTGGGGGTCAGGGCTTGGCCCGTTAAACTAAGGAAACAAGTCAATGTTTATTCAGCATTAGAGACAACTTTCCCTTACTTGTCCATCCTTGTCATCACTGTCTGCAGTTTTCTGTTCTAACTGGAATCTGGGGACACTTTCTCACTCTTATCCCTCAGTGGGACCCATTAACAGTCCAAGAAACTTCAGTATTTCAATCTCACTTTGACTTCTTGAAAAGTTGTTTGAACTTACTCTCAGGGACTGAGACTCATGTAAACAACATCAAAGCCCCCCGAGGGTCATTAAAAGCCTGGGGCTGTTGCTGTGCTGCTGAGCTGGGCCGGGCTCCTGGCACACAGGGAGCTCCTGGCAAGCAAGAAGAGCTTCAAAGAGACAGCTCTGCTGGTGAGCAGCTCCTCTGCACAGCCCAGCAGGGCTGAGGGCGCTGCCTGCTGCACCCAGGGCACAAAAGCAAGGCAGAGAGAGGTTACACACAGCCTGGGCTGGGAGGGAAGTCGAGAGTAAGATCCACTGGAGGAGGAATCTTTCCAGGCTTCCTCCCGGTAAGTCAGCATGAAGGGCAATGTGTCTGCAGTTGGTGCAAAGATCTCCTAACGCTGGCACATCCCACTTCCTGTTGCACCATCCCAGGCACATCCCAGCTGGGTTCCCTTCTCCCAGGGATGGCTGCAGGGCTGTGAAGCTGGGCTGTGCCACCCAGGCTGCCCCAAGCTGTCCTGCAGAGCAGGGTCCTGCGGCCCAGGGCTGTGCCGGGGCAGGAGCTCTGCCACTGCCAGGGGCAGCTCTCAGCCGGGCTGGGGAGCTCCCTCAGGGCTGGGCAGAGGCTGGGGGTGGAAAGAGCAAAGCCTGGCAGGGCAGGGCAGGTTTCTTCTGCTATCAAGTGAGAGTTTCACGGGTCAGGGCTGCTCACAGAACCAGAGCACGCCAGGATATCTTCCAGGGGATCCTTCAAGGGGAAGGTCCAAGGAGGGATTTCTCTCAAGCTCTCAAGCCCTCAAGCCACATGCTTGGTGGTTTGAGTTCCAGAGGGAACTCTGAGGAGCTGCCCAGGGCTGAGAACAACTTGCTGGCACTGTTGGTGTCTGGGAGGTGGCACAGCTGGCTCAGGGTGACGCTGCCCTGAGTGCCCAGTGGGCTCTGCCCTGGCCTCTCCCAGCTGGACCCTCCCTGTGCATTTCCTTGGTTCTCAGCTTGCCTGTGGTCCTGAGGTTGTGCCCTCCTTCTCTCAGTCAGGCTCATGGGGAGGGAAGTTCAAGCTACACAGTCCAACACTGATCCTGGGATTCCCCTATGGCAGGGGTGTCCCTGGGAATAAGACATTCCCATTGTCCTCTGCCCTGTGGGGCTGTGGGCAGTGAAGTCTGTGGGCCTGGGTAAGGAGCTCTTTTTCCCTCATTCAGACACCGTCATTAGGACACTTGGCTCTTTTCTGAGGTGTCCTTCCAAGCTGGGAGCTGCCATTGAGGATGCAAATCATCCTCACAGCACAGCTGACAAGCCCTTTTGCATTGGGAGCAGTTTCATTTGACACAGCTGAACACCAGGACGGGTCCCTTGTCCCCACCATGCCCATGACCCCACCTGTGCAGAGCAGGGCTGAACCCTCACAGCCAGTGGGCAGAGGGTCTGCTCCTCCTGGAAGATGTAGTGAGCCCCAACCAGGGCTCCAGCCATGGAGCTGAAGGAGAGATTCCTAGAAAAGCAAAACAGGTGAGGGAGTGTAGCAGGGAGGGGGATATTGGGAAATGGCTTTGGTTTTTCTCAGAAAGTTCTTTGCTAACATATCGCTGATATTTCCTCTTCGAGTAGTGCCCCACACCAAGAGGTAGCAAATGTCCAACAGCAGCTCCATGGCCCAGTTCCTCCTCCTAGCATTCGCAGACAGGCGGGAGCTGCAGCTCCTGCACTTCTGGCTCTTCCTGGGCATCTCTCTGGCTGCCCTCCTGGCCAACAGCCTCATCCTCAGTGCCGTAGCCTGCGACCACCACCTGCACACCCCCATGGGCTTCTTCCTGCTCAACCTCTCCCTCACAGACCTCGGCTGCATCTGCACCACTGTCCCCAAAGCCATGCACAACTCTCTCTGGGGCACCAGAACCATCCCCTACATGGGATGTGCTGCACAGGCTTTTTTCTTTCTCTTCTTCATCTCAGGAGAGTATTATCTCCTCACCGTCATGTGCTACGACCGCTACGTTGCCATCTGCAAACCCCTGCACTACGGGACCCTCCT